TGTTGACTCAATTCCCAAAATCCTCAAAAATAATTGCATCATGACTCAATTATTTATATGTTTTAATAGTAACTCAAATAATTGCATCAAATAATTGCATCAAATAATTGCATCAATTGCGTCAAGGATCTATGAATTTCAGTAACATGTATATTCTATAATATATAACTAAAATAAAAAGCTTGAATATTAGATTAGCTATTAGAAAAAATTTTATATTTCTTTGAGAAGTATAATATTAAGATTGCTATTATTGACAAGAATTATATTTAAGTATTTGGATAATATTTTATAAACTAACTTAATAAGTTTGTTAATTTTATTTGAAGTTAATTAAGCTTAATTTTGTTATGAAAAAATTTTATAAAAAGTATTTAAGTTTTTTTATAATTATTTAATTACAAATTTGTTGTTTAATTTATTCTTTTCAATTTTGTTTAGTTGGTTCTTTAAGAATTATAATTGCCAACCAATTAAATATTTTTTTATTAATCTGGAAAAGTTTTTAAAAAAGATATATATTTTTAAATACTTAATATTCTAATATAGTTTTAAGACTTTTATTGAGTAATTATTAAATTTTATTATATTACAAATCTCTTGTTTGATTTTGATATTGTTAATTATTTGTGTTTTTTTTAGGGAACTGCTATTTGCACCATGCACCCTCGATTATATCACAATAAAAATGGAGTGTCGGGTCATATGATTTCTGACCTCATTGATGTCAGGTCATATGATTTTTAAAGAAAGAAACCAATCACGAAAAATTAATATTTGTTTTTAAAAAACAGCTTGCAAAATTTTTCATATGAAACTATTAATTATCGTGCTGCAAATACAGGTTTTTTACAAGGCAATTGACTCTACTCACTTTTTCTAACTACTACTCTACTTCTATTTATATTCGCCACGACGCATCCACTAATCTAACGTCGCGTCCCCACAAATTTAAACTTTCCCCACATTGATGCATTGATTGATGCATCGCGGAATATCACGTGACCCGCACCGATCCCGTCCCTATACCTGATCGTACTGTCAAGCCTATCTTGTATGCTCTGCGAACAAACTCCCAACCCAACCCTCCAGTTCACGGTTTCTGGTACATGTCGGATCCTCCAAGCGGCGATTAAGTTAAGGATGGTCTGTGGCAATCGTTCAAGATCGTTGCGTCTCCTTGTATCGTTTCCGTCATCACTGTCAATGCTAAGCCGATATTTTGTTCAATCCAGATCTCCAATGTCGAATTCCTTATGGTAAGTATCATCATATATTGCCTTCATCAATGCTAGCGTATGTGCAATACTAGTTGTAGTGGTTTCGCAGTTCCACTTCGGGTTATCATCTCCGAACTTCCGTATCGCATCACGTGATACATCGGGACCTTGGAACACATCCACAAGTTGCTTGACTCGCCACGCATTTTCCCTTGGCTGCCCTATCCTGGTTGTATCGTAGACCATTAGATCCATTCTTCTGGTTGGGTAATGATATTCCATTTAAACTTCGTGGTGGGGTACTCGAGTAATATGTCATAACCTTTTCCTTGATCTTCCGCCAGCATAGACTCGTTGGTCGTTGGTGCATCACGGGTAGGTTGCAACATATAACTGTTGTATTCTTCAATGCACATAAGTGTTCTGTTCCTGTGATCATCAGCCATCTGTCTCTCAACTTCTTTGTGTCGTCTCTAATTTCCAGATCGATCGTGGCCTCATGATTGATTTTGATGGTGCATTGCACTCCCTTGACACACTCAGATCTTCGGACGGTCCTCTTGGTCGCATCTATATGCTCGACCAGGAGTTCTTTTACTGAATTGTTTATCCAAACCATCCACATAACTGTCATCATAGTGCGGAGTGCCAATTTTGTGAAATTTTCAGAGCATGTCGCTACTAGCTTCTTTTTAAGCTCTTGGCAAAGTGTGTCCATCAGACGTCTCCACGATGCTGTAATGGTGCGCAGCCTGAATGTTTCATCTCTCAGTGCGTGCGTCCCCCAGGTAATTATCATTTCTATCGTCTTGATCCCTCCTTTCGTGTCTTGATCGCCCTGATGTATGTTGCGCTTGGCTAGGATATCATCATTGGCGTCAGCGGTATGTTGCATCACCTGGGAACATTTTTCTTTCAAGATCGTATTTCCGGGCACTCCTAACACTCTCTTAATTCTTATTATTTGTTTGCCCTCCAGGTTCTCAGTCGATCTCGTATCACTTTACCTTTCCCTTCGGTCCCGCCTTCATCATATAACCTTGATGGTTCGTTCATTGACATGATCTTCCGTTCTCTTATTGGTTCACATCACTCTTCACTTCGTCCTCACCCTTCTCCTCAGTTTTGTTGACCTTGCTGAAACCCTCTTCGGTCGCCATCAACGTCTCTTCCGTTTGGAAGGGATATGCTGCAGGGCCTGGAGTCTCCGGTCGTGCGTCATCATCGGAGTTGGGGTCATTACTCGTTTCCTTTGTCACCTCATATTCGAAAGATCTCAACCATATTCCCTTGTTTTCACCGTCCTTTCCTTTATTGCTCCACCTTTCGTTCCGCCAAGTGTTCCTGTCGGATCCCTTATTAGCGATCTCGTCAGCTGGTGCCTTCTTGGTCTCATCATTCGAGATCGGGATCTTCACAGGGTACCCCTTGTCGGTTTCCTGGATTCATATCGTCCGATTGCGGTTTTCTTTTATTTATCCTTATTGGTATGATAATATTTTGTTCCTTTGTTGGCGTTTCTTCCTCTTGCTTGTATGTTATACTTCTTTTTTCTTTCTTGCACTACCAATTTACTTAACAGCTCTTCCACACGATATAGATAGGTAAAGATCTGTCTCTATGATACTAAAAAGAAAGAAATAGTATAAAAGTTAATAATGATAATAATGTATGAAGATATGGCGAAACAATACTAATGATAATACTCATCGAGTAGTAAAATAAGCTCGATCATGTAACTTGATGACTTATATTTTTTGTGATTAATAATTGATTAGTAGTAATAATATAAAGTATTTTGTCGTCAATGATTTTTAAAACCATGTCTTTGCTCCCACCTTTAACTGGCTGCTTCGCAAGTCGCGAAGCTGTCATTCAACATGTTAAAACACATGCATTCAGTCATGGATATGCAGTATGCATAAAAAGATCTGAGCGGGATAAGTTCGTGTATTTACGTTGTGATAGGGGTGGTACCTACAGAAATTCTTTAAATCTTACAGATAATACTTGCCAGAGAGCTACAAGTTCACGATTAATAGATTGTCCATTTGAACTCTACGGCAAAAAAAAAGATAATCAGTGGTACTTAGCAATAAAAAATGCCAATCATAACCATAAAGCATCAAAAGACATATCTGGGCATCCATCAAGTCGTCAATTGAACATGAAAGATCAACAAAAAATTTGACAAATGTCTGCAGCAGGCATCCATCCTTGGGAAATGCTTTCAACTCTTCGCCAAAGCAATTCAAATCTTACAGCTATTTCAAAAACTATTTACAATGTTCGAGATAAGATTCGACATGATAATCTTCAGGGCCGCACTCCAATTCAGGCTCTTCTTGATAAGCTTAAAGAAGAAAGCTTTGAGTATGACTTTCAATACAGCGAAAATGGTCATTTGACCCACCTCTTTTTTGCACATCCTATATCAATCGTACTTACCAAAACTTATAGCTCTGTTCTTTTGATGGATTGTACTTACAAAATCAATAAGTTTAGAATGCCACTCCTTCATATTATTGGTATGACGAGTTTCAATACTACATTTTCTTCTTGTTTTGCTTTTCTAAAATCGGAACAAGAAGAAGATTATGAATGGGCTCTCATCCGTGTTGCTCGTATTTTTAAGGAGATTTCAAAGCCTCAGGTTATTATAAGTGATCAAGATCAGGCATTAATGCATGCTATACGAACCATCTTTCCTGAATCACAAAACTTTTTATATGTCTGGCATATTGAAAAAAACATATTGACCAATTGTCGTAATCAGTTCCCTATGGATGAAGAATGGATTGAATTTTTGGGCAACTGGATTACTGTAATAAAATCTAAAACAGAGGAAGATTTTAATAAAAAATGGGAAGAATTGGCGAAAAAATATAATAAGAATCTATTAATTGTTAAGTATCTGCAGGACACATGGTTACCATTAAAAAAACATTTTGTGAGTCTTTGGACAGATCGTTACTTGCATTTGGATAATGTAACCACATCACGGGTAGAAGGGTTTCACACAATGCTAAAAAAGTATCTTCAAGTGTCGACAGGTGATCTTTATGTTATTTATGAAAGAATCTCTTTAGCATTGGAAAATCAACACCAGGAAATTCAAACTATAATTTCTCAAGAGATGATTTGAATTCCTCATGCTCAAGCTAAGCCATTCTACTCACAGGTCATTACCAAAGTTTCTATATTCGCATTGAAAAAAGTGCATGAGCAATTATTAAAAGTATCCCGCACGACTTTAGAAAACCCATTACAACCTTGTAGTGGTACCTTCATATTATCAATAGGTCTTTCTTGTACCCACAAAATTCAGGAACGTCTTATTAATAATCAATATCTGCAACTTACCAATTTTCATCAACATTGGTGTCTTCAAGAATGTTAATTGCTTCCACAAATACCAAATAAAACTGAAGATCCTTTACGACAATGGTGGCAAGAATATGAGAAGATATTTGATACTTGGCCAATTAATCAACAATTAGTAGCTTTAGATAAAATGTCAAATTTATTTGAAGAGCCAGCTATAATAATTCAAAATCCGCAGGTGCAACAAACAAGGGGACGTTCAATTGGAGCAAGAAATAGAATTCGATCATCTATACAAAGAGATCCATCCACCTTTGAATTTGTTAAATCAGAAAAATGTAACAAGAAATGTGGTTTATGTCAAAGAATTGAACACAATAGTAGAACATGTTCTAGTAATGGAAAATAAAAAAAGATATCAAAATTCATATATAGCTAAAGTTATAATTAGTCTCAATTGATTCTAAAGAAATTACTAGTTTTCAAGATAAATTTTTTATTATGGATTATATTTACAGTAATTTTTACTTATTGAAGATAATGAAAAAACTTTCTAGAATTTAAAATTTCTTGAAATATATAGTAGTATTGGAATCATGATTACGGAACCAGCCTGGTTCTACTGGTCTTAACAAAATTGTTACTTTTTTAATAGATTTTTTTAGAGTTATTAATAAAATCTATTTACAATTATTTTTAAGAAGTATTACTTATTAGAAGTAGAACTTCTAAAATTAATAAATTTTAAAAATTATTATTTTCGATTGTCGGACCCTATATGCATAACATGGGATATAAAATCATGTGATATGTGATATAATCGAATATGCATGGTGCAAATAGCAAAATCTATGGTGCGAATAGCAGTTCCCTTTTTTTATTGTAAATTATAATACTAATTGAATAAAATTGATTAATTATAACCAAAAAATTTTCTATTTTTGTTTAGAGTCTGTAATAAAAGCAAGATTATTTATATAAGCTAATATATTGAAGATAGTATAGTTCTAAATAGATTAATATTTGAATGGTTATATAATAAGAAAATTATTAAAGATTATTTATATAATAGAAAATAATATTTTATTTTGTTTAATTTTATTATTAACTATAAAGAATTAATTGTTTTAAATAAAATATTGATAATTACTAAAAACTCTCTCCTGATTGTGTTTACTTTGCTAAAAATTTTTCTTTTATGGTAATTTTTGTCAAGAAAAAATGTTTTACACTCTTTATTGCATATGAGTCCCAACTCAAGAATTCAAGAACTTTCAAGACAACTGGTACAGTAGGATGGGACCTCTGATCGAAGTCTATTCAAGTTTGAGAGTCTTACTTATCCTTCAGTTGCATAAGAAAAGGCTTATGGCAGTTCTCTTTTCTTTTGTTCTCTTGCACCTCTCCTTTCACCTATCATAACATTAAAACCATCTATATAAATATCATTATACGCGCTAAGTCAAATACTTTCCAAAAAACACACTCAAACAGAGTTATTGGGTCTACTGTTTGTTTTAACACAACCTTTACATACAATCTTATCATGACAACAATTACTGCACCATTTCAAAATTTTCAAAATTTTTTGTCCAAAAAACCAAAATCAGTTTACCCCCTCCAGATGATCATCGCTCTCCAATCATCCAATCAGATTTTGTCAAAACAACAAAGAAAAAACTGAACCTGTCCAAACCAGTTTTCCAGCATAACAATAATAACAACAACAACTATAACAACAAACAATGTCACATGTACTCTTTATCTATAGTAACCAACGAGCCGGAAAGATGGAACCACGCACCTGTCCGGGGACTTTTTTGGGAAAATAATTAAATTTCTACTTATAGATTTTATAGTCTATTTGATTTAGTTTTAGTTTTAGTCACTGTTGTTATTTTCTTTTCATTTATTTTATATTCAAAAAATCAAAAGATTTCACAAAATTTTATCGAGTAGGTAGGCATAGCCACTACTCCACTATTTAACATTTTAATATTGCTTTTGAAATTCTTTTTACAATATTAATTAGATAGTAATTAAATAGGCAAGCTAACATTTAACTTGTTGTATGCAATATGCATCCAAGAGATGTTGTTTCTTTTACAATATATATCTACAATATACAATAACAAATAAAGAGATGATGTTTACCTACTGGGGAAAACCCCTCCAAAAAAATAGAATATTGATAAATATTTTTCTGTTACTGAAATAGCTACTTCAGTACAAACAAAAAACAAATAATTCAGAATCTGTTGGATGATCCTAAGAGAACTATTCAACTGGACAAATTATTATATACAAGCCAGACAAGCAAGTCATTAATGACCCTGACACAATAAAGAGCATAGTTAGAACACACTTCAAACAATGGACAAAAAAACACAACACACAACCAATAGACAACACAAGATGGAGAAAAGAATACAAATCAATTAAACATATATATACAGATTGGTACGATAACACCATTTAATCAATCTCTATAGAAGAAATCCAACAGACTCTCAAAAACAGATTCTCAAAAACAGCTCCAGGCCCTATAGACATTTCTTACATAGCTCTCAAGAAACTAAGCAAAGAAACTTTCAGTTACCTTACAAAACTGTTCAATGATATATTACGGCAAAAAAACCTTTCACACAAATGGAAAACAGGTAACATATACCTATACCTAAACCAAAACCATAGGAGAATAATATCAATATCACAAGACCAATTATGTTTCTGGAAACAACCAAAAAAGTCTTTACAAAAATTATAGCAGACAGACTAACACAGACTCCAACCCAATATAACATAATCTCACCACACAACTGGGTAGCTCTTCTTGGTTGCAGCACACAAGAACCAATTCAAATTCTTAGAACAGTACAAGATAATGTACTATAAAACAAAAAACAAGCATGGATCCTAAGCCTAGACATGGCCAAAACATATGACTCAGTAAACATTTAAAGACTTATACTTTCACTATATCGAATCAAATGCCCAGAAAAGATCATCAAAATTATTACTAATATGTATGACAACAGACAAAACCAAGTCCTCACATCCTTCGAACCAACACTACCATATACAGTAGAAGATGGTATCGACCAAGGAGATACAATTTCTTCACTTTTATGGAGAATATTCTATGACCTCCTCATCACATACATAGCAACCAAAACTAGGGTTCCGATTAGTTTCAGTTTTGGTACTAATTTTTATATAAAAATACCAAACCAAAAATTTCAATACTGTACCAATCGATAAAAACTCTTTTCCACAGCTCTCCAATTTGTAAAAAATTTCCTTTTTTGGTAACGACATGAATGGTAGACAGTAAACAGCAAGCAAGAACCTCTTCCAGGGAGAGGAGTCCATCTTAGCTATCTGCAGGGTGCAAGGGGTCGATTAACTCTCCATAGAGATGTGAATGCTTTGGGAACAGCAAAAACCTTTTCAATTCAACTCTTTGCTTTACTGAGTGAAACCTATGTAAGCAACCTTCAATAAAGAAAAACCTTTTTACCATATTCACACACATTACTATTTATCACATCACAAAAAACACATACAAAATCAAATATAATCTTCTTCTCAAGAGACGACATTTTATTTTTTCAGAGTTTTTGTTTTTTGCTGATGACAACTAGTGCTAGATTTATCATAATCTTCTGGCTAGTTATCAGTTCTCGCCAAATTTTTTCACACAAAAACCGAATCCAACTTACCCCCACCAAAAGATTGACATCCACAATATATCAATAATATTTCGTATTACAATATCAACAACAAAAACACCAAAACAACTATATGTATCACCAAAACCACCACAAATTACAAATATAGCCGGATTGGGAGAGTGCGTGATCAGTGCCCTGCACGGGTTCCAGCTATATAACCTATCAACTTTTTACACCAATATTTCAATCTATCCAATCATATCCACCATCTCTACCGTATTTACGCCACTGTCAACAATGGAGTAGTGTACTGGAAGAAATAGCCAGACCGGTTGTTGAAACAAACTTTATATTTTTCCACTTTTACTTTTTTCTATAATTTCATTTTTATTTCTTTACTTCTTTTACAAATCTGAAGCTCTTAGTTTTTTTTCGTTTTTTAAGTAGATAGTTCCTTCCTTTTTTTTCCTTGTAATAAGTTTTTTTTAGGAATATATCTACTTTATAGGTGGTAGGCTAGTATGCATGGTAATACATCTCTAGATTTAGAAATTAATTATGTATCGATAAAACTCATACTCAATTAATAAAATCATGAGAAAGGCCTCACTTTAACACTTTAAAAAAAAAGAATAAATACTTAGCCAAGCAATTATCATTATTGCACTTTAAAAAAAAAATAATAATAATAATACATAATGATCAGTAATTTTAGTTATCTCTATAAATAAATTAGTAATAATAACAAAATATTTATTACTTATCTCTTAAACAATATAGATCTATTATATAAGATTAGATTTTAATACTATTAAGAAAACTATTATAAATTCTATATATAAGACACTTTAGTTATACTTGAAATATAAGTATTTTAAATTCTTTTTATAATTTGGAAACAAATCTATATAAAGTAGCTATTATAAAGAAATATTCAAAAATTTATAATCTCCAATACTAATTCATTTATTATATATTAAGTCATATTTGAAAAGCAAGTGTATTAATCATAATAATAACTTGAAAATCAATCTATATAAATTAACTACAGTACTTTCATATAATTAAGTATTTATTTTTCTTTAAATAGTTAGATACCATTTAAAACAATAATATAGATTTTTAAATTTCTGTTTTTTTGTATTTC